TTTTCTTCACATCAACAGACTCATATTTGCATATTATTATCTAATGAAAAAAAATATCAGTACCATATCAGATAATCTTCCTCAATAATGTAGTGCTGCCATCTACTGATTATGATACCAACTGATCCATAAATTGTCATATTTTGAACGTGTTCAGAAGTGAACTTACAACTCTCATTGAGATCTGAGCAGTTTTGTCTTTCAGCATTCCTCTGAAAGACAAATCTGCTCCCAGTCAGGAAACGTAACCATTTCCAAAAAGGATGTCATACTGCACCAATTGCATTTTTCTGTCAGCAGTTTGCAAGCCAGCATGTTTTTTGCCTTTTCTGAACCACAATCCTGTGTACAGCAGATACATGAGCAAGACGGTCAAAGTTTGAGATGTGATGACAAAATAGTATGTCTTGTAAGGGCAGCTGCAGTATTAAAGATAAAAAAAGAATGTGCCTCTGTTGTTGGCCTGTAACACTACTGTAGTGTTAATGTGGCTAACCAGTCACTAGATGGCCCCGTTGGTGAAGAAGTAGACTGCAATAGTTTTGACAAATACAAAAGAGCATGTTTAAAAACGTCATAGTATCTAAATAATAAACAGAAAAACAATGCAAACTAATTAGGATTTTCAGACATATGATATTTTTTTTATTGGTTTTGTTCAGAATTCTGAAATCTATATTACGTAATATGTAGCACCATTTTTGTATTCATGAGGAATCCCACTGTTACTGTTGTATTTAGAATTTTGACTGCTACAAAATAAGATTAAGCCACAAAAGAATAAAAGCAAAAGCCACCTTAGTTTTTTTTTTTTTTAAATATTGGTGTTACCACACTATAGAACGAGGAGTGGGGAAGAAACATGAAGAAACTTGGAGGCGGATGAGATATTCCCAGAGAGCATGGATAGCTTGCATTATTCAGTGGGAAGAGGGCGACATTGTTTAGAAAATGAGTTTTCTGTGTAGGAGGGAGGAGAGTTGGTGCTCTGTTGAACCAGAGGAGAAATATATGAAGGTCAGATGGCAGAGGAGGCCCACTGCAGATCTCCTTTCTGCATCTCTATCCTGAAGGTGTGAGACCTTTTACCTTAGGTTCCCTCTGTTGTATAATTCACTGGCCTTTACTTCTCCAGCATAGTACTGTACTATGGGCTTATAATATTATTATTATTTATTTGTTTCCCTTAGCTTTTCCTTCTAACTTAAGTGTTGAAAATGCCTTCAAAGACCACGATAACTGGGTATTTTGATAACGCTAAATCTCATTAACAATCTGTGGTAATGTGTTTAAGAATCTATACATACATCTTTAACATCCAATATGTTTGGAGACTAGCAGACATGTAAAGTTTAAAAAGAATAACAGTAACTAAAATATTCTAACGTATTCATTCAACTGAAATATTAAATTCCAAGATTTTAAGTTGTAATAACAATATCTAAACTTGTAGTAAAAGTAAAACAAATAAATGAAGGGTTGTCAATTTTTTATTTTATGAATAGTTGTGGTCCTCGTACATTTTCTATCAAGGAAGTATACTAGCTTTGTAAATTGTTAGGAAATACCGTTGTCTTTTTTTACGACATTGTTACCAGTTAAGAGACATCTTTTTTTAAATGTCATTTTGGTTTTCCATGACATAATAATTTCAATTTGATACTTTGATCACCTTCAAATGTCAGAACTCACTTTGCCAATTGGAACCAATTTACTCCAAACAGTAAGGGGCTCTCGGGTAATGTACAATACTTTTTAATCTTATAGTACGTGTTCCCTATATCAGAGCTCTAAAAAAGGTAATTTAATTACCACGAATTACAATATCTGAATCAGCTATAATGAATGAGGTTAAGATTATTGGTTGATATGCTTTTAATGCTTACTCCATGCTGTGTCAGCTGATTTTACAGTTTAAAATATAAACAAGAATAATATCATAAACAGAATATTTAAAAAACAAACAAATAAAAAAAACAATGTTTCACAATATAGAATATAAGAATGATTTATAGAGTGGAGTGATTGCGATTGTTTAAGATTGAAGTATTTAGTATGTAAGTCTAAAATAAACCAATTTGTAAAATATCCATTCTTCTAAACATCTCATAGGTTTATAAACACATAAACAAACATGCCCATTGCCCACACATTGACACGCCTGGTTCCACACAGTTTTTTTTCCATAGACTGCGGCCTAATTGATTCTCATTTTAATTATGTTGACCGAGACTCTGTCTCTCCTCTTCACTGACAACAAAACCAGCGCAGGCCGGCAGTCTGCCTCTCACACTGTGAGGATGACACCTCTGTCTCCTTACAGAGGAACTAGTCAACAATCCACTTTGATGTCACTCCCCCCGTAAAGGAAAGGTCAAAATAATAAATGTAGGCCCAATTGATGGGTTGGCAGGGGGGCGCGGGGGGTTCAGGGCTGATTTTTGGACGAGTGCTCCCCTAAAGGCATAATGAATTCATACAGTCAGGCACGGCCAAAGAGGAAAACAGCATGGGGCCTCTTTCCATGAAAAGGTTGATCTAAATCTGCAGACGAGTCTGGCTTCTTCTTCCCACTCATTCTTCACACACATTACTCTTTTCTCTCACTCTCAAACACTGGTCTGTCTCACACTCACATGCACACAAGTATAAATACTCCAAAATATCTCTGTCTTTCACTTCTCTTTGACACACACCTATGCATATGCATCACCTCCTCCTTACCTCACTGACAGAGGTGAACCACATCCCCTTGGAACAAAAAACTCTCAGTTAGCTGCTCCACCTAACGCCTCCTCACAGCAAGACAACTTTGAATAAAGAGACAATAACCCAGTAATACACAAATTCTTGAATATGCCTTTGAAGATTACTCGGGTCACCAGGGTCGCGGGATATCTGATATAGGTCAAAGGCAACTGAGCTACACCATGCCTGATAGCCGTCCGTCCATTGTTCCAAATTCATGTTTTTAAAGTGAGGTTAAGATCCCAACTTTCACAAACCGAAATATTGGCAGGCTGAATTACAACTTGTATCTAAAAGTTTCACTATTACAAATTTGCAGCAGCTTTGGCGGGATTATTTCACTCAGATGAAGCAGTTTGTGCTGAATTAACTATCTTTCACTTAAGTTAAAGAAGCAATAACCCAATGTAAAATTCTCTATTACTAATGAAAGTACTAATTTCTTAATGCTATACTTCGGGAAAGGTACCACGGTATATGAAGCAATATAAGAATCAAATGCTTCCTATGAGGAATGGACCCTTATAGAGAGTTCTATCATATTGTTGCAATATTTTTAGTAATGCACAAATATGTAGGTAGAATTGTATTGTTAATTTTTAACATACTTACATTGTTGGAGGGTTAAAATTACATTTCACAAGTTAATAAACATTTTGTACAGTCTAAAATTGTAACATAGCCAGGGCAACACATTATTTCAAGTCCCCTGCATGTATTAGCAGTATAATAATTGATTTATCAGACACTATAATGTAGTTGTAAGCAGATATAAATGATAGGCGTGGAGGCTGTTGCATTAACATATCAAAATATGTCTTAACAAGTTGTTGCCAAGGATTGTACATTAATAAACAAAATGCACTTAAAAACACACTTTTGTTTGTTTTAGACTATTTGTTAACTGTATCATTATGATTGTTAAATAGAGGGCCTTACAGTGTTATCATAAAGCTATCAAATAAATGTTGTGTGGGAAAAGCACAAACATTTGCAAACAGAGATGTGGCATAGAAGAGAACAGTGTCTCAAACTTTAATATATTCATGTTCGCATATCTACTTAAATGCTGCTACTCATTTTTTAGACATGGATCAGTACTTAGTTGCCTTTATTTTAATTTAAATGTGTTATGCACTGCTTTTTCGGTACCACTTTACAATAAGACTACCCTTATAAAGGATTCATAAAGGGTTTATAATTAGGTTATGAATTAGGTTGTAAACACTTTATTAATCATTAAGAACCATTTATAAACCAGTTCTAACATAGTTTTCATACATCAACACAGGCTCACTATTTGCCAAGATGACTAAGCCTTATATTGGCTACTCAGCGAGAATCAACTCGGTGAACAACAGATACCAAGGATGCTGGCTGAGGAAGAAGACGAAGTAAGCTAAGTAGCCAATATAACAAGTAACATGTAATATAAGGCTTAGCAGTACAGATAAATGTGGGCTCACTATTTGGCAAGCAACCGGTCACAGTTGCCCTGTTTATCTCATGTCTTGTAAAAGCTTAATAATGATTTATAAAGTGTTCACAACCTAATTAATAAATGAATTACAAACTATTCGTAAACCCTTTATAAGGGTAGTCTTATGTAAAGTGGTACCGCTTTTTCTCTATATTTAACATGTTAGCATATTTTATTATTGCTTGCCTTATATCTGCTATATCTCACTTTTGTTGGAATGCTGTACATTTCCCCACTGCGAGACTAATAAAGGCTAACTTGCATTTTAATGATCCAGTCAGCCCTTTTAACAAAGAAACCTTTAGTAAGCAAAACAAATATAGCCTTTTTTTTATCCCAAATTAAGGCCTGCTGAAGTTGTGGCAATTGTCCTTTTTTTATTTATTTGGTTGACCGACCATACATTATTAGCATAAACTATTATTATTATTATTATTATTATTATTATTATTATTATTATTATTATTATTATTATAGCACCCTTTTAATGTTGTTTTGTAACTTATAATTGCGTCATTGGCTTGATCCTATCACTTTTCATGTGAACACACATTATAATGGCTATGTGCTTAAACTCTTTGGAGCTATTTAATAACTGGTTTATAAAATGTGTTTTTGCACCGTAATATATAGTCTAACTGCATTAATGACACACATTACACCGAGATATGATTATTTCCCACGGACAAAGACGCAATTTCCTGCTCAGCCACAGTCCCTGTGAGTCGCGTGAAGATGCGCATTCAGAGCTGTTTCCACCGGAGCACCGAGCAGCGCGAGGCGGAACTACGTGCGCAGTCCTGCCGTGAATCACACATCACCACGGCAACCGGCGGTCACACCAAGTCCCCGTCAGCATCACCGGGGTCCGATCACATCCAGAGCCCACCGGAGAGCACAGGACACACAGTAAGTTTATATTATATTTCATAAATGAATGTTTCTGAGTGCGTAGACGTTTATTTGCGTATCAAACACACGTGTTTGCGGGTCCAGAGAGCGTGCACTGCTGCAGTAAACCTCCCCATAGGAGAGCTGTTTCTACATGACGTGATTTAGTGCAGGTGATTCATGAATTTTCATCTGCTTTAGTGAATGAATGGAAAAACATAGCATCAGGTTAAATATAAGGCTCTATTTCTCTGTGGCAGGCGGAATTGTGTTGTAATAGGCGCTCCACGTTGAGGCTTCAGATAAATAGCCTACGCATCTATTTATTGTCCTTTTTGCTTTAGACTACATGCATTAAGTCAGCAACTCATCAAACATGCCTTTTATATCCTTCAAGACTTAATATATAGAACATTTACAGTGGGTGATTGAAGATTGTAAAAGTATGCAGCTGGACAAATATTTAATTCATATCTATAGGCCCTAATTATATAGATTAGCCTATATATTTTTATCAGCCTTCCATATTTCCTGTGCTGCTGCTACATTTCTGCTTCCTGATTCCTGGTTACACGCCTGTACATCTTGTTGCAGCAGTCTTCAATGCAGCAAGTTCAGATATGCATGACCAGTGAACCCTGAAGAACTTGAAAGACATAGACAGCCCGCTCTTACTTATTCATAACACAGTACGTCTTCACCTTTAGATACCTCTCTCCCCCCTGCCTTGTTTTTAGCTCTTAAACATATGCCATAATCATGCCATCATTTGAATATTAACAGGATTTTACTAATCTGTATTTAAAATAAGTAATTTTTCTTATTTTCTGGACTCATTTCCTGTGAGTGTGGGAGCACTGAGTGTCTGACAGCCGGCTCATTTGTTAATCACAGATTCAGGATGATTCACCATACCCACACTTCCCTCCAACTGTGGGGAGGAAAAACGGTGGTCACCACAGATGACCACTTAAGCCACCCACACAAGGACACACCAAGCAGTACTGTAGTGTTGAATCATTTTCTCACTTAGCATCCTTTTGGTCACTTGACAAAAGCTGCTCTTTAACTGCTTAAAAATTAAAAAATATGAACAAATTCTGCATCAGAGAATACGCCTTCATCATTTACGCCACTCTGAATTATTCTTTTATAATAATTTAGAATGTCTTATTAACCATGTAATAATGGGTATTAACCTGGATAATAGTTAGATTTTAAACTCCAAATTTCCAGAATCAAATTTGTTAATTTGGTTTACGTGTTTCCAGTTCATGACAACATACTTCCTTCATTAGCAGATCATTTATTCACATTGGTTGTGTCTGGAGTCCTTAGTTAATGATCCTGTATCTCCTTTGTAACAAACACATTTCCTGTGCACCAGGGATGTCTCCCGCAGCATAAACTGTAGCTCTTTGCCTCCTGGTGAGTGGATCATCATTGTGAGTCACCGGCGTCAGTGGGGCCTGTGGGGTCCTTGGCTGTGGGAAGGTGTTGTGTTGCACTGTGTGAATGAGATAAGTGGATCCTCTCCTCTCCTCTCCACATTTAGGTGATCAGTTGATCGAGAGAAAATATAAATATTATCAGCACAGAGAGGCGTTCAGCGCCGTGTTGGTGGAGCGCTAGATTTACACATTGATTTTGAAACTCTAGATAAAAGTTTTTAGAAGAGAGATTGGGCTTAAGTTTACAAAATAAATAATTCACAGTGGTTATGAAACATGTTAACTTTAAATGGTTGGATTGTATAGCAGGAGAGCATATGGTTGAAAATAGAAATCTGAAGTTGTTTTTTTTCTCCACTTAGTTATAATTTTACTTGGCATAACCTCACTCAATTACACAGTTATTAAGGGTGACATCATACCCTTTTTTTTAAGGTTAATACAGGTATTTTGGGTTTCTACTTCAACATGTTTACAAGGAATGCTTTGACATTTTATGTCATATAACCCTTATTTTGTTGCTAAAAGTGAGATGAGAGCTCTATATTGTTATCATATCTTTACAATATGAAGCTACTGCAAGAAGCTGGTAATTTAGCTTAGCATAAAGACTTCAAACAGCTAGCCTAGCTCAGTCCAAACTTAACTACATCCACTTACAAACACCTCTCATATAGATGTTGTACTGTAAAATCACATGTGGTGGTTTTACAGTGGGTTTTCTGCTGGACAATATAATGGCTCTCAGCAGTTGCCAGGCAACGAGTCAAGACCCCAGGAGGTCGCAGCTTCCAGCCAACAAATAATCCAGAACATAACCGAACAGCAAACTGTTGTTTTTACTATTTATATGTATTGATAGTGTTTTATTTGCTTTACCTAACTAAAAACATAAAGTCTATAGTTATGCGGGTGGTTCTGTGAGGCTGTACTTCAGCACAGTTGTGCTTTGTGTTAAATGTCAACATGCTCATCTTTACAATGACATTTCAAAAATAATATTTTTTGTGTGTTGGTTAAGAATGATAGTATGCTAATATATGCACTTTATTTACACTAAACACTCAGAATGCTACAGGCTCATGATGGGAAGGCCATAGGTTTTGCAGATTCCTATTTATAAATAAAAATATTGGACAAATCCAAATGTTGACCACTAAAATATGAACTATTCTTTCTGAGGGGGGAGATCATTTAGATTTGAGATACAATCCATACAATAGTTGGTGAGATATGTCAGTCTGCACCAAAAGGCTGACTAATCAAACTAATTTCTTGTAGTATAAGAATTGTCTTTTTATTCGGGTCTTACTTTTGTGTGGCCTATACTCTAGTCCTGTCCTGTTTTTTCAGTACACTGTCCTCTTTTCACCTTCTTTTGTGTCCTAGCAGCAGCATCCCAGATTTGAGCTTCAAGCAGCTGTCGCATTTGGTTATAGAGCACACAATCTGAGTCAGTCTGACCTGAGCTGCCTGTCCCCCTGCCATCTCTCCAGATCAATCCCGGCATTTTCAGGCAGCTAAGCAGCCATGGTGAAGTTAGGCAGCAATCTGTCTGATAAACTGGAGAAGCAGCCGTCTGCTGACGACGGATTTGATAACATCCCGCTGATCACACCCCTGGAGGTCAGCCAGCTCCAGAGGTCGTACGCAGAGAGGGTAAGTAAGGCTTATTGGGTCAGTGTTTGTGAGTTTGTTTATGTGTATTTCTACGTATGTTTGTTTTTCTCTCAAAGGCTCATTTCTGATTTGCATGCCGACTACAACAAACCCATTACAGCTCACAGAAATAGCTAAGAGATTACAATTTAGAACTCGCCTGGACAAACACCATTAAAATTCATGTGGGCGTACTTACCTTCCAAGCATGAGCAAGCATCCCAACACTGAGACTGCTGTATTCACCCTTCATAACGTACAGTACCAGGTTAAACCCTTGGCATCAGCCCATTCAAGTACCTCTTTGAATGCGTAATGCAAGAAGAAAGCCCTCACGATTATATTTAAGTTTGACGATGCAGTCAGCAGCTCCCAATCTTCCACAGGCTGATTAGATGTTGCTGAAACATTAACATAAAAAACACTTTGCAGCTCCCAGATGTATTTTTAAGGCATCAATTAAAGCAGGCTGCTTTTGCAAATCATGTTTGTGTATTTTTAGACATGCTAAATAGCCTTTTTAATGGATACACAAACTGAACCAGCACTGAACACCGAGGACAACATCATCCATCATCAACCATAATGTGAAATGAAAGGAGTCACAGTAACAGTGGATTGTTTCTGCTGCAGGTCATTGTGAAGACATCAACACAATATCAGCTGCAGCAGAAGAAAAAGAACAAGCCTTACGTTCCCAATATCAAGAAGCTGAATATCAACTTCTACAGTGATGTTACAGAGAAAGCCAAGGTACCTACAACAGCCTGATGTTCTGATTAAAAGATAAGCCTGGCAATATTGTATGATTTCCAAGTCTCATGATAAGACCATGACCAACAATTGATGGATCACACCTACATGTATTCACTTTCCAAACACTGATGTTGTTTATTCCTCTGTACCATAGAGCTCCATTGTTGTCCAAATACGATTATGGTCACATGACAGCATAGAACTGACAGCATCTGGCAGGCTGACATAGTGAGTGCAATACACTACTAAACAGGACACAAAATAACCAACCTGTCATGTTACCTTCTTGTCATGGGAAGATGGTGTGTTATTGGCTAGTTGTGCAGGGTAAGAACACACCATGATCCAACCTGATCGTAGTGACACATTTCAGGAATGTGCTGCAGCTGAGCGGATCAATAGCCATCTACTGTAACATGCAAACTGACCCCAGTGCACTTTCCCCCAATGACTTTCGATCTGTTCCCTTTTTGAACAAGCTAAGATCCAGGAAAAGTTGTGTGTCCATGACAGTAGGTTAGTTAATTGGGAAAATGTAACAGGACAGCTTTTACCTGTCCTCAGTAGGAACAGAGTGGTGATCACAGACACAAGGCCAGGAAGTGTTAGGAGACTAACGCAGGTCTTTTTATGACATTTTCTGACAATAAAATATATTACCAACCCTATTCTTTAACTATTAATGACACTTGTTGCTAAACTGATGTCTGTGCGTGTGTGTTGTTGCTCAGGTCACAGGTCTGATCCTCATCACTTTGGCCTTCCTGACCAGCTTGCTCCTCCTGCTCATGTACAAAGCTATGTGGTATGACCAACTTACCTGCCCAGAGGGATTCATCCTGAAGGTTTGCCACACACACACACACACACACACACACACACACACACACACACACACACACACACACACACACACACACACACACACACACACACACACACACACACACACACACACACACACACACTCACACTCACACTCACACACACTGATGAGAACACATGCCATTTAACACTGATTATTAGAATATGCCATTTTTGATTTCATGTTTACTGTCCTTGCAGAAATTAATTGTGCATAAACACACATTGTCTTTTATACACACACATACACACACCCACACTACACAAATATTGGTGGATTCATATGATTTAGGTAGAGAAAAAAATCTTAATGGCCATCATCATCCTGCAGTTTAGCACAGATGAGCAGAAGCATCTTCTGTAATATTCTTGTCCTCAGTTATTACAAACTTTTTATTTGATTATCCAGGCCGAAGTGGTCCGTGCGACTCCCACTCAAATAGTCCTTACACAGTCTACAATGCAGCGGGTGCTTTGTTTCTCGGCACACCCTCTCCTCAGTCAATCAGAAAACTGGAGCTGGGAACTCAAACTCATTATCTCCAAACAACACCTTGGAGGCATCGTGTAGCGAGCCGCCGCTGCCACGCATGTTAGTTAAAGAGGCCGTCTCGCAGAGGAAAATGAGAGAGACAGAGGGAGCTTCAGAGCCAGCTTTCTGCTCAGGCAGAGATTGGGACGCCCGCCTGTGAATCGGAGGGGTCTTTAATTAGGGCTGAGCGTGACTAAACTGTGATTAAAGGCTTAACAGTGAGGGGGAAGCAAGGAAGGGAAGGCGGAGGGGGGGACCTTCCGGGCAAGGCTTTTGAAGTTTTTGCCGGTTACAGTTGCTTTCAGCATTTCTTCCTGCTAATGGGTTGTTGGAGACATAAAAAGAGGATCGAGGAAGGCGAAGTCTCTGCTGTGCTTTTGGGAGGGTTCGAGTCCTTGCTGAGAGGGAAGGTCAGGTAGTGAATCCTCAACGATGGAAACACTCATGAGGTCAAGACAACTCAGTGTGCTCTCTCCATAACAATATATTGACAGGAAGGATGCTCAGTTTGTTTGATTTAATTCACACGCATTGTCTTGTACATAATCACCCACTTTAAAAACAAATAGTCCAGGCCCCAAAACTCTGAAATGACTTACCTGCTGACCTCAGGTTTGGTACATTTGCTTTGAAATCTCTTCTCAAAACATTCCTCCTTAAAAAGCTTTTATCTCTATAGGCAAATGTTTAAAGATGCACAGGATGCTTTGTCCTCTAATGAAGGATGATCTGAGATGGACATGGCAACCTGTGATAACATTCTTTTACATTAAGTATTTTAAACACCTCCAATCTGATTTGTAGGAAAATGTGCGGTGCATAAAAAACAACGAAAAAAACATTTGTTCTCACTTTTTTCCCCTGACAAAGAGTTGAGCCTTATAAATAAATGTGTCTTTTTTATTTATGTATATTCTACTGGGATAAACTTGTGTTATGTTCAGAGCAGTGTGTCCCCTACGTGGAACCAACAAAGACGTGTTTGTGTTTCTGTTCCAACAGCAGAAGCACTGCACCCCGGCCGCTCTGGAGATGTACTACACTGAGCAGCAGCAGCAGGAGGAGCCGGGGGTGCACGGCGGCGCTGGGCTGTATGCTGCGCTCAGCCACCTCAACCAGGTGAAGAGGACCGGACCTGAACTGCCATCGGCATGGTTACCAGTCCCCAGTGCCCTGAACGAGGCCGAGGTGACCAACCAACGCAGCGAGCTGCTGACAGGCGAGCAGGAGGGAGAGTAGTGAGGGGCGGACAGGTGTTACAGCAGGAAATGATGATGGGGAGGCAGCGTAGATTATTTTTTGAGACCCTGTGTTTAGGATTTGTTTTCTTTCCTCGTACAGACCATTAAATCAGTTGTTTATACTGGTGCTCCAAAACCTTTAGGTACAATGGCATGTTAGGGGCAAGTCAGAGATTTTACTAACAGTAATTAAGTTGTTAATTCAATAGAATATATATTTAGATTATAATGTCATCTATTTGAGTGAAGTAAATATACAACTTTATTCACTCAAAGATGTATCCACGTTTTTTTCTTTTCTTTGTAAATGTATTTAAAGTATTACCCTTCTCACTGACTCCGTATTAGCCCTGATATGCCGTTGTACAAAGGTGTCTGTATAACAAATGAAAGTTCAACCATCAGCTAAACCACACAGTTCCCCAGTTATTTTCTGTTAATACTCAATTCAAGCTAATACCCAACTGTGTGTGTGTGTGTGTGTGTGCGTGCGTAGGTGCGTGCGTGTGAGTGTGCGCTTGTGTGTGTGCGTGTGTGTGTGTTTGTGGTGAGTTGTTGTGGTTGGAGGCAGGAATGTTATTAAAGTGTTGGAGAATGTGCCTGACTTTTACAGTGTTACTGAGGCATGAGAAAATCTCAGACATCTGCATTCAGTGTGTGTGTATACCCTCGCGTTCATACTTCACATGGGCACATATACAGTATGTATCATCTTTATATATGTATTCATGTGTGTATGCGTAAGCTGTAGGATTTGTGGAGTTGTTGGAGGTGAGAGAAGCGAGGCAAGAGCTCAGAGTGAGAAGATAACAAGTTTTTAATGACATACAGCGAGTTTCTCCCCATCACTGCGTCTCGTTATCTCACACTATTCATTTAGTTTTAGAGGGGAACGTATGAAATCAGCATTGAATGTGCTCACAGGCAAGGAACTATAATTGACGATTTACATTTTCTGTCGAAATGAGTCAATTTTTCATCTTATCATCTGGAGACTGTAAATTGCAGTTCAGTGTGCGTCTACAGTTGAAAACAGACTAAATGTATTTTAAATCGTTTTACACATTGGCTTTGGATAGTCTCCGAATAGTCAAAATCACCAACTACAACCTCCAATATGAGTATAAAGTGTTCAACAAGTGAATGAGCCTGAAAACTTTCTGTACAACTTTTCAATTGATAACTGTTATTATTCTATATGATTGTGTGAGCTACTTTCTGTTATAATGAACAAATTGAGATATTTGTATGTAAAACTGAAATGACAGCATACTCGAAGCTGATTGTAAAAACTGGAAAATGATTTGTTTTGTTACTAAATTGTGTTTTTGGTTAATGTTGCTGCCGCTGTAAATGAGCATGTACAGTTTACCCACAGGTTTGACTCGTCATGATCCTTATATGAATGTATGAAGCAGCGGCTCTAATCTTGCAGTAGATGTAATTAGTGCTTATGATGTACTACCTAAAAACTTCAATTGTCTTCACATGTTTCTATTTATTCCATGAACAGTGTTATGTTGTTAGTTTTTTTCAATCCATTGTACATCCATTTATTTGTGTATCTCAAAATATTCTGACAAATCTTGTAATTTGTCCAAATGATCTTCTGTCACTTGTTTGAACCTGCTTTTTCTCTTTCATTATTTTGGAGAAAAGTAAAACTCTTCATGTGAGATCGCAGCACAGCTTGTTCTTTGGAGCCAAACGTTTACATCAGCGCCATCTGCCCGAGTGTCACCGTCTGAACAGAAATAAAAGTAATTATTGATCCCTCTCATTCACCACTAATATATTTTCTCAACTGTACTTGAGTACAACTTTGAGGTACTTAAATTCAATGCTTATATTTCAAGTTAACTAGTATACTAAAGTAAAAGTAATGTAATATAGAGTAACTAAAATAGTGATACTGTAAGAATGTGTGCGGGTTGTAGTTACTGCGTACAGTACTTGAAGATACATAGGTCAAAATATCAAATATAATTTATTGTTGTATATTCAATAACATTGAATACAAATGTTTAAATCATCTACACCCCTATCAGCCACAGCACTCAAATGCTGCTTACATATTAAAACATCAATAGAAATAATCAAACACTATAATATTTCTGAAAGATGGAATGAGTGAGGAAAATATCTGGATGAATAGGTACAAATTATTTCCAGTTAAATTAAAGCACACTTTCTTATTTTAAGATTTTATCTAAAGATATTATAAACTTTCTTCAAAAGTCATTCCTCACCTCAGCTGCTCCAAATCAGCAGCTGAGGTGCACACAATTAATTAAATCTTATGAAACGATTAATTTTTACCTAATTATGGGTTTATTATAATAATTAATTATGAATAACATCGTTCTGCCCATCAACCCTCAATTGCATCATGAGTATCTTACCATTCTTTAGCCTTATGCTCAAGTAAAACAAAGCACCCTTCTACAAAACTAACACAGAGCTGTAAATCACAATTAGCTGAGTATAATTAAACACTTAATTGTCAGTTATTCCCATATTTGTCCCTCCAACGCTCTCTACTAACGTTTGTATATGTATTGCTTTGTGTCACTGACAGGGGGGCTGTTCTGCATAGGAATACATTTTAATTTTCACTCTTACATTTTTCTTTTGAAAGAAATATAGATCTCCTTTTACAGTCTGTTGCTAAAAAATGCTCACTATGCATAGCATTCAAAATATGATTCCTTCCTCCTCAAATTTAAGTCTAGAAATTCAAAGCCAAGCCACATCCTCTCCCCTCTCCCCCCTCTCTCTCTCTCTCTCTCCACTGCTGTGAGCCTGTCTGCATCTCATTTACACTCACATATTTTCACACCATCGCTCTAAACCCAGGGATGTGTGGCTCGAATGTTGTGTGTGTGTTGCCTTGTTAGAACCGTGCCTGGTGCGTGTGACTCTGAAATCATTAACCTTCTGCTGTGTGTGTGTGTGTGTGTGTGTGTGTGTGTGTGTGTGTGTGTGTGTGTGTGTGTGTGTGTGTGTGTGTGTGTGTGTGTGTGTGTGTGTGTGTGTGTGTGTGTGTGTGTGTGTGTGTGTGTGTGTGTGTGTGTGTGTGTGTGTGTGTGTGTGTGTGTGTGTGTGTGTGTGTGTGTGTGTGTGTGTGTGCGTGCGTGCGTGCCCATGCTTAGCTTGTTAATTAAATCTACATTACGCCCTGTTTAGCCTGTAGGGTCTTTTTTCTCCCCTCTGTTGCTGGGTGACATACTTTAGATGCTGTTGGCCCAGGGCATGGAACTAAATAAAGTGCTAAAACATATTTATTGGGGCATTTACAGATCCCATGCTTGGTCAAGGCATAACATGTTGTGCCAAAAAGGCTTAGATTCAGTGCCGGGGGAAAATCACGTAAAATCAGCCGAGTAGTCACGTAAAGGCCGCCAAGCCCCATTTTCCTGCTTTATAGCATCAACAGATCTGAACAGTAAAATAGCAGGTTGGCTTTTTAATTTGTCCTGACCGTTCAGAGCTCCCCCTTCCAACTCCTCCCTGAAGACTGCGAGGGAAGGCCTTGCCAAGAGTCATTTAGCTGTTAACATCACATTACTCCTAGACCTGATCTACCTTTCCTGAAGAGGACGCACAAAGCTGTGTGGTGATCTTAAAACTGTTCTGTTCACCTGAAGCTGATCAGACTGGAGGCGTTATGATGCAGCTCGCTCCCGAGCACCTTCAGAATATCACTAAGATGTGATATACAATAACAAGAGATTCCGCAGGTCCTTCCTTCCTATACAACCAGCACAGCAGCCCCTAGTAGACCTAATAAAGGTATTCTGATTCTGATTCTGAAGCTGAGTAGATTTGGATCAAAGGCAGAAGACGTTGGAATGGAGAGCTTAACAAACAGTTTGAAGTGAAATTTCTTTACTTTTACTCTTAATCTCTTTTTTGGGAAATATGCTTATTTGCATTCTAGCGGAGCATTACATGAGCAGAATGATACCACTCTTGTACATTAAAGGGGGCAAATTATGCTCTTTTTCAGTTTCATAATTTTTGGCAGGGGTTTTTTATAAGAACATGTTTACATGCATTTAAGCTATAAAAAAACACTTTATTCGTACTCTCTATTTGTTAATACCTGTACTTATCCAAAGTCTGAAACGCTCTGTTTCAGTGTCTGTCTCTTTACGGCCCTTCGTTGAAGTCTGCTCTGATTGGTCACTGTTTCCGTGTCTTCCTTATCTGCACTCTTGCCATCCCAATTCCATCATTACCGGCAGATGTCTATAACGTCACTGTAGCAGAAATTAAAGTATATAACATATTTTTAAATTGTACTTTTAGAAACTTGTCTGTTTGTATTTCTACGTTAATTGGGCGTATTGATACCTTCACAGTATTGATATAAAACTTACAGCTGCTTTATTATCAAAAACACATGAAAATCTAACTTTTTATTATATGGGACCTTTAAATATGAGTCAACCTAAAGACTTGAAATAGCATCATGTACAGGCCTAGAGAATGACATTCATATTGTCGTCTGACTCAATAAGAAAGTTAATACGAATAGTTCCCATAATGTAGAGCTTTTGTTGGAATTGTAAAAGCTTTTAAACTTATAATTACAAATATTTTTGTTTGCAATCACTAGATACATTTTCATTCTCTGAAATGATGTCACTGTAGAATTATATTCTCTGTACTATCTTTTTTTTTTAATGCAGCCGCAAATTCCCAGGGTTTATTCCAGCTCTGGGACCTTTGATCCTCTCTCCCTCTCAATTCTACACTGTCCACTGTCATAAAGAAGAAAATGGCACAAAAAGGTGATCTTACACTTCACTATAAGTACATTGATAGCTGTGTCTTTTTCTTCACGCTCACACAAAGACCCTTTTTAATCCTAAACTGCCATTAAAGCATTTTTAAGTGTATCATGCCATTAAAGTGTAAGTTTGATAAATAGGAGAAAAAGGAACAGCAGAGAGATGGAAGGAAGGAAACCCAAAAGAAAAGATGAACAAGAGAGAAAGAGCAGACGAGAGGCGGCCAGGCCTGGGAAGAGAAGGTGGGGGGTGAGGGGGTTTTGGGTAGAAGAAGAGGAGGCGGTGGAGGCCAAGAGGCACGGAGGTGGAGGAGGGTGAATCCAGGCTGACCCCTGTGTCTGTGTGTGTTGTTGTGTGTCTCAGTGGGTTTCCTCTGCCCTGGCGCCAGCTGGAAATGCCTCCACTAAGCAGAGGCAGTACACACATCATCCTCCATTCACCCCCATTCAGTCCCCTTTGATGAGAGTAACACTATACATGCCCAGCGCGCCTCACAGATCCTATCAAGCTGCTGTTTAAAGGGCAGCAGCGAGGGCCGGGGCAGCTGATCATAACTTATCGAGGTTTCGGACGCACTGTCATCTAGTTTCTCTGCCCTGCGGAGCAAATAAAAGGGAGGACAATTGAGGAGGTTTTGTAATTGGAGTGATGTTTGTTTTTACAGTGGTGGAGGTTTCAGAAGGTACGCTGCCACCTAGGGGTCATCTCCCATGGTTGCAGAGAGGAATGTGTCCCGTTGTGCTTTGAACCTCTAGTTTGATGAACATAATTTAAGTGGATTATGCTTTCATAAAGACCTTTAAAGTCACTTAAAAGCTGACATTGAGACATCTTAATACACTTTTCTTTGTACTCTACAAGGGAATTATATGTTGTTGACCATACCTAAGAGTGCTGTCAGATTAGTCACAGTGGCTCTTTAAAGTTGATCCTTGTGATGGCCTTTTTAAAATGACTCAACAGCCATGAAATTAGTCATTAGTTTGTTATCCTGCCGTGTTGTTGCCCTCATGCATCAAAAACCTTGCCAGTAAACAATTACCCGACCGATGTGGCGAGGTAAAGGCCCAAATCTGCAGCCCAGACATGGCGTGAGAAAGAAAAACAACCGGCTTCACTTAACTTAGCTTTACTTTGCTTTGTTCTGGCCATTACGCAGCTGAAATATTGTCATTACTCATAGACCAAATCATTTTACGACATCCTGCAATTAAACTTTAAGCTAATAGGTTAATGAGACAAATGGAGTTTGAACGCTGGAAGTTGGTTTCTATTAGGGATGGTAAAGCATGGAGAAGTGCATTGTTGCATGATCTTTCCCCCTTTCTCTCTCTCTACCCACACACACTCACACACGCACGCAAACACAAACAGAGAACAGACTGGTTTGATTTAGGTTTGTGGTCCCCTCCCGGTGCAGCCTCAGACAGGCAGAGAGGACCAGAGCGCAGTGAACTCCAGTTCAGCCTGAGCCCCGGCTGTCTCTGCTAAGCTTCAAGTTGAAATCCTCCAAATTGGGTTTAATCTGTGTTTTGCTTTGCCAATTATCGACCCGCAGAGCTGCATGGCAAATGGGGATGAATGAGCTTTATATGGGCCTGGTTGAGAGGAAGGTCACGGTGTGATTAATGGTGATCTGTTGAATCCATGACTCTGCGGCTAAGACGTAGCACGAGATGAGTTATCAGAAAAATCAGCGGGAAAAATGCAGAGCATGACGCAGCAGAAATTTGACATTTTGTGAGTATAAAAATGTCAAACTGTTGCTAAAACCAAAGTGGGTTTACCATACACTGAATTTGTCTTACAATCAACATGGTTTCTAAATGTATCCGGACAAGGACTCTGGTTTCTGTGTCAACACTAGTTTTCTGAAGATGAA